CCTGCTGAGAAAGGTGGCTTTTGTTTTCCACAGCTGCTGCTAACTGAGTTCTCCTCATAACACTGGGTATTTTCCTCTGCATTTTCCAGTTGGTTCTTTGATGCAGGCAATGTTTTTGAAGGATTTACTGATAGTCTCATTAAAGAGAGGGAAGAAAAGAGGGAAGAAAAAGAAAGTGAGGAGGGAGGTGTTTCTTTGGGAAACACTACGAGATGGGCCAAACTTGAATGTCCAGCTCAGTGACTTCCAGTTCATGACACAGTGTTGAAATTCTTGGGTTGGTCACTGCACCGCTTGATGATGTGGCCTTGTCTCTGGGCAGTCCGATATCAGCTTTTCCTTTTGTTGGGATCTGTTGCAGGCAGAGTTTACTTACAAGTAATATACATTAAATCTAAACCTCAGAAATCAGAGCATATCTGAGGAGGAATGAGGACTGCTTGCTAGACTAAGGAAGCACTCAAATACCATTTACCTGCCTTGGCAGTTTTGAAGAGGACAGAATATGATTCAAGGGGATGATTAACCAGCCACACATACTGTTTTATTTCACATGAACAAAGGATAAAGCCTCACAAACCAAAAGCTTAAATGAATATTGCAAAATGAGGAATAAAATTCTGTTTTGATGTTAAAAAGAAATCAACCCTGAAAGTACAGAATGCAAAGGTGTATGAGATGGAAAATGGTTATCGGGATCACTTTGCTTCATGAAAATACACGCCTGCATTCATAACAGTTCTTGAGACATTTGGGATCCTGGAGAGAGGAGCTAGTTCAACATTTTCTGGCATTACCTCTATTTAAGCTGCCTTAGGTGAGCTAGGAGAATCTTCTGCCATGTATAGAGCCAGTGAACATAGAGACTTGGACTGCATGGGTGAAGCCGAGGCAGGAAAGTACCTGTAAGGAAGAAGATCTGAATGGATGGGGTGACGACATGTCGCATTGCTCTCCAGCCTCAATGAGCGACAGGATTCAGGGATTATCTGGGAGTAAGAATCCGCAAAATTCATCAAATAATAGTGTTTATTTTGTGATGAGGCATGAACAGATCTCATGCCATCAGACCACACTGGTTCCTGTGAACTGCTGAATGGCTGGGGCAATCTTGGGGCTCTCAAGCAAAGGTGAAGTTCACTCGTGGGTGCAGGGACAGCCTGACACTGAAGCCTGGTTCAAGCTGAAGTGCCTCCTCTTGCAGGAATGAGTCCTGTGCAGAAGCAGTGCAGCCAGGGTTGCATTTCACCCTTGGGTTTTATGAGATACACTGAGCCTTGGCTGGTGTTTGCATGACTGCAGTTCCTTTTGGCTCTGCAGCAGCACAGAGTTATCTTCCCACCGCAACACAGAATCCTGTAATTAAACCTTTGTTGCCCTCAGAAGAGCGCTACTCCTCATGTATACAAAGCAAACATTTTGGCAAGTTTATTATTCTTCTCTAGACTAAGAGGGTATTAACGGCGTTGCAAAATTAGAGCAAGCTGCTCGCTAAACTGCTCTTGGATATTTTCACTGACAACATGATTTTATATTCCTCTTCATCTTTGAAAAAAATGCAATAGATTTAGTAAACATCTTACTGTCAGAAGCATTACAGTGCAAGACACCATATCAAAGTAAAGGCCAGAGGGATGTTTTGGCCTAAAAAACTGATTGCTCTTTGCTATACAACATCAAACATCACTTCATTGTCATCTTTCACGTAACTACTAACCATTAGGAGGTAGCTAGTTCTAATAATCAAAATAGTAAAGTGTTTACCACAAAATCTAGGCTTTTTTTTTGCACCGAAAGGCATATACCACGTAATGCCCTTTGTGCTGCATGCAGCACCTTGCCGCTGGGAAGGGCAACTGCTTCCAAAATGTCACCTTGCTCATTAAGCGGGAAGGCAGCGACGAAGCACGCAGCTCTTCTGGGGGAAGAACGGCTCTGTCTTTCAGACCTGTTTTCCTGTTGCTCCTTGACTGTACTTCAAACTCCGTTAGTTTATGCACATGAGTCATGAACAAAGACAGAATTCTTGCACTTTATTTCAGCACTAGATGCTCTCTACCTACGCTATATATTTCAGCTGCCTGAGCAAAACAGATCAGCGTGAGCTGGTGATAGTACTTCTCAGCTGGGAGAGTGCAATGACATCCCTAGGAAAGATGAGCCGAGCAGAAAGGCTGTGACAGGGATATAAAAAGTAAAACATAAATCACACCCCACTGCAGAGGATGGTCTTCTGCATTTGCATCTTGCCATGACCAGAAACCAACCATTTGACCAAGGGAAGAGATGCCGGCTCTGCAGCTGCTCTGCTTGGCAGCTGGCAGCACCCTCCTCTGCCTGGAAATGGAGAGATCCAGGTGGTGTCGTAAGAAAAGAAAAACTCCCTTAGTGGGTCAGATGAAAGATCTGCTGCTCCACCTTTCTCCTCTCTTAATTCCTGAGCACCTGCCTATAAAAAAGAGGGGTTGGGCCAAGAGAATTGTGCCATCTGCATTCCAGAAATTCAGGCACGATTCAACTGTGATAATTTTAAAAATTGAGAGAATTCAGCAAAGAGGCTAGCCCTTCAGCCATAGCTCAAGCACATTTCATGAAAACATGGTGCTCTTTCCATGGGACAGGGATGGGGGGAATGACAATAACTATAAAAGAATACAAAAAGGTTTTTTTATGTATGTAGTGCATCCCTTTAATATAGAAACCATTTTTTCAATTGCTACAGTTCGTAATAGCATATTTTCAATGACACTTTATGCTAATGAATTATTTATTTTTGGAGAGAGGGGGAGTAAGGATGATTTTTATTGTGCCTCAGAAATATGCCTGTTCCTACCGTAGAACCTATAGATCTGAATTAAGAACAAAACAAAACAAAACACCCAGACCAGCTGGGAAGAGGCAGCCTGAGAGCCGGCCATCGGCAGCTGAGGCCGCGAGGGGAGCAGACGTCGTCTGCGCAGGCGCTGCCTTCAGAAGCCAGCGCAGATCTACAGACTTTCTCCAAAAGCCTTGTAAAAATTCTATAAAACCCGTTTTTCCTCCTTCGATTTCCTGTGACGGGAGATGACCTGCTTGAAAACCATTATCAGAGTCTCAGGTGTTCACGTCTTCCAGCGCCCTGTTTCATTTCTTGTGGCAAACCATAATTGTCCTTCCTGAGGGGTCCAGGTTTCCCCCCCCACCTCTTCACGGAAGACAAGATTTCCAAAGCACAACTCCCTACATTAGTAAATCCTGTGTTTCCTACAGTCACCATTTCCTTGGGGGGAAAAGAATGTTAATGCGACATGGGAACAAAATCACAATGGTACACATGAAGAACCCTGGGGAAGCTGGTGTTAAGCTAATGCTTCACACACACAGTGACGAGTTTGTCTTAGCAGTGGGGCATTAGTTTTAAAGCAATTCCCTAGCAGGGTTTGATGCTGCCTTCTATAATTGCAATCTTGTACCTTACTGAGAGGTGATTTTGGCCAGAATCCATAGTGATTTGGGTCAATCAGCAGCAATTATTTCTCTTGTCAGTGGTGCTGAAGAAGTGAAGAGCCTAGAAAAGTAGGAGTCCCAGACTGATCCTGGACTCAAATCGCATCGGCATGAGAATATTACATAAATGTAGTGAAGTACAGAGATTATTTTTAAAAGGAGAATAACTAGGACTGTGTAGGGGCTGATGTTTGCAGTTGACACCCTAAGGGTGAAATTCACAGTTTTCCAACATTTCAGTTTGGCTTTCCAGTCCTTATTTTTTTAACTGAATTCATAAATTGTCTATTGCTACTAGTATTATGCTCCTAAATGAGAATGATGATCTCACGCACAGGAATAACAGCAATGACCAGACAAATTTTTGGAGAAAAGTAACAACAGCTGCATTAATGAGATGCCAGTTTCCCTTCCGTTTCCTCATTGCATTTCCTCATCTTGCCAACCTTGTGGAACCGAGTTTGCTCACAGAAAAAGCTAAGGAATTTACTCGTGGTTATGCATAAACATGCATGTTTGCGCCCCATAAAATGTAACCTAAACCCAGAAGCTAAGGTACCTTGACCCAGCTAGAGAAGCACTCGCCTCACGCCACACGCTTTAGTGGGGTACTTGCTAGTGGCTCTTGGTGAGCACTTCTCTCGTCCAAACAACCTTGCTGAAAAGTGTCAGGCAATTAACAGAATCGTGATGTTAGTGCCTAGTTTATAAAGAGAGGAAAAAAATAACAAATAGAAGCTTGTACCAACAACAAAAGTTCAGCAAAGATACTGTTTTGATGCAAATATCATTAAAAGGAAAAAACACATGAAATACAGAAAGCAGAATTTTTATTGTGCCAAGTCTATGTCCTTAGCATAATTTAAGTAACGCGTTGCCATGGCAATCCTGATTGCTACGAAGTGTAAGGTAAACTTTCTGACTGCACCTATTGCACGCTGTCTCCACAGCTGTGTAAGAAAACCCTTCGACTGCATCAGCGATTCTTCATTGGGATTAGCTGGTGTGCAGAAGTCCAAACTGAGCAGCTGACAGTTACAGAGGACGCGGTCTGCCCGGGCGCTGCTACTTGATGATCTGTGGCATATCGCTCCACGCTTGCGCCTTCTTCTTGGCGAGCTCCATCCAGGACGGCTGGGCTGCCACGGCGGCACCGGCTTTCTTGACCTGACTCGCTTCCTCCTTATCCACCGGAGCCCCTGTGAATAAAATACAGGGGTGCTTGATGTCAGCTTGCAGGTGTACACACTAGCTCTTTTACCAAGAACATCCCAGGCCTTGCCCTACAGTGCAAGTCTCTACTTTTCACACAAAAGTCTCCTTAATTATTATTGAGGAACTAGCCCTTGTGTGCACCAGAGAACACAACCTGTTGTTCTAATTAACAGCTTTTGTCCCTTAAGCTTACTACAGAACATATGATAATCTCCATCTCTTGCCCTCGCCCAGGTAGCACCAGGGCCCAACAAGAGTCTTTCAGTCCGCGAGGGCGCTCATGTGAGACTTCCTCCCTTACCCAGCCTTCAGCCTAGAGGCATTTGATCACCCTTCAGACTTGTGCCCCGCTTTCAGGTTTGAATGCACCCAGTAGATTCAAGGATATCTCAGAGGACTGATAGGCAGACAGTCTGCATCACAGCATCCTTGCTTGCTTAGGGACCCACTTTCAAACTGAATGCTACTGAAGCTAATTTTGCATTCATTCTGCTTTTCACACTAGGACATTTGGGACCCAGTCCTGAGAAATTCCCTTGCATTTTTGATTCACGCTTATATAACAGGTCTTTAGCTTAAATCAAAGTGGTAAAAGGAATATTCCACCAAACAAAATTGCAGACATGAGGGCTGAGAAAACACTTTGCCCTTGTTGGTTTTGAACAAGGGAGGAGATTAGGATCTAGGCCCTATTCCTTTTCCAGCACAGACAAGCACGATGATGTCTTCTGACAAGGCTGCGAGATAACAGCCTATATCGGTATTCAAAGCATTTTCTTTCCTACCAGGCACAGAATGAGACAGCGAGTTGGTCCTCAGCAGCAGCTCTTTCTTTTCAGACTTTGTCTCGTTCCTCAGTTCTTCAGAAAAGGTTTTAGGTGCTATGTGTGAAGGTCTGCTCCAGTGCTGCTTCACCAACCCCTATGCACAGAGAGGGAGAAAATGCAGGTCATGGAGGCAGAAGGAAACCGTGGTGGAAAAACGCAAGCAAAAGGAGGGGACGTGGTGCCTGCCACCATCCAAAAGCCAAGCGTGCTCGCTACTCATCACTTCCCCTCCACTCACCTGAGCCCCTTACTTGCTCAGAAAGCCCCATAGTTTCCAAGATGCTGAATGTGACAGATTAAAATTGCCCCTCTGTCTCTCACCTTATTCATAATGGCATCTATGAGTACATTATTATTATATCTTCAATGCAAAGCATTTACCAGGCCCTTCTCACTCTTCTGTTAACACAGGTGGCATTTGGAAAGAGCCTGGTTCCTTCATTCATATGTTTCCCTTCCACCTCCCGAAGTTTGTATTTTAGAGCACTGGGACTTGGGAGGGTCGAAGGTAAACTGATTTCCATTAAAATAAAAAAGGAAATTTAGCACATTTTCATAGGAGTTCTCTTGCCACCAGCAAAAGCTGTTGGGAAGCAGCAGTGTCTGGTGGCAGGTGGGAGGACGTGGGAGCTGCGCAATGGCACCAGCCTCACGCGCTGCAGGCAGGAGCAGCTCGGCATATTGATCCCTTAGCTACCGAGGGAAACGAAACGCATGGCATGAAGCTCAGGAAACACTGCCAGCTAGAATCTGGAATTTCCTGCTCTGACACAGGAATTGTATTTTGGGATCACTTAAATGCCTGGTGTTTTAAGCGCTGTGGCGATGTTCAGCATTACTGTGGCTTACAGGCTTGCCTAGGCATTTCATTAGGTAGGATTTCTTGTTAATCTAACTGCTGCTGGTTTTCTTAATCCCAGAATGGTTGAGGTTGGAAGGGACCTCTAGAGATCATCTAGTCCAACTCCCCTGCTCCAGCAGGGACACCCAGAGCACGTGACACAGGGTGGCATCCAGGCGGGTTTGGAAGATCTCCAGAGAAGGAGACTCCACAACCTCTCCAGGCAGCCTGTTCCAGGGCTCTGTCACGCTCAGTTTTCACCATCTAGAGATCTTTTCTTATTCAAAAATGTAACACAGCACTCTGGCTTTCTAGCAGAACTGCTCTAAGTAAGCAAACAGGCCATTTGCCCTGGGAATGCTCTGCTGGCACAGGACACACGCGCTCCTGCACCAGCCCTGCGTGTTCATGCCAAGCGTGTCAATGCTGCTCGCACAGCTTTGCCACCTGGGAACACCACTTGCTACAGCCTTCTTGTGCAAGGGATCTTGGAATTGGCTCATTTTCCCTGCCAGCACATGTGTCTGAGTTATCTGTATATAAAGAACCAGAATTTATATCTTGGCAGTATCTGCAAGTGCAAAAAGTTATTTTTATCCTCTTTCACTTCTCAAGGCTCTAAAAATTGTTACCTAGGAGTTTCTAGGACCAAGCTGTTCATTCAGTATTATATCAGTCAAAAGGAATGGGAGACACGGTGAAACATGTGCTTAAAAGAATCAAAGAGACTGTATTCTCCTGTAGTGAGAGGTACTTGAGATTGTACAGCTTAGCACCTCATTTTGGTTATTTTAATATCTCTTTTTATGTTAAATCTGGTAAACATTTATTGGACACTCAAGAAACTTTACACCCATGGAATAGTTCCAGGATTTCTTGGAGATATGAAGTTACTTATCTGAATAATCAGGGGGCACATTTGCAAGAGCAGTGTCTTTGTTACTTATGATTACGCTTGTCAAGTATCTCTACGCATAACAGCATCTGACAGGGATAATAGCAGTGGATCCAAAGAATACTGCCGGGATGTGATGCAGAAAGCACCACAAACTCATGCCGCAAGTACCTCTGTCCTTTCCTTCTCCTTATTGTGTTTTTCTGTATCTGACTTAATATCCGGAGGTGCCAGTTTTTCTCTGTTAAGCTCCTGCTCCTGGTGTGGGCCTCTCTGCTTCTGCCTGGCGATGGAGATCCAGGCTGGCTCTGTGGGAATGTCGGGTTCTCTTCCGGAGTCTCCAGCAGTCCCCAGGGAAGGCACGCTTCGCTCTGCCGGCAGATTATTTGTATACATGGTTATCTGAGAGAGAGTTGCAATTAACTTCAGCTCTCGCTTGCTCAATGCTATGATTTGAAGAAATGTGATAAGCCAAGATAAATAGGAATTTTTATTTGGTCTCCAGGAAGCAAGCTTCCTGTTTCCATTACTTTAAGTTACCGTTTTACTGTTCAACAACATTTCTCTCTCTCTTTTTTTTTTTTTTTCAGCTAGAACCACATGAGGGAGGTACAAAAGCACCCACCAAGCCTCGCTACACTACCACCTTTCCACAGCCTCCACTTCTGCCCCTTTCACGGCCTTTGCTGTAGCGGCAGGCAGAGCTGCTCCAACCCCGGACACAAGGGCACGGCGGCGGTGGCAGCAGCAGCCCCGGCTGCCCCCAGCCACAGGAGGCCGCAGAGCACAGCCACCCGTGTCGTCTGGACACACAAACACCACAGAGACCACAGGGTTGGCCCAAGGGAACAGCCTCACCTCCCCGCTGGCTCCAGCCCCACGTCCCCCCCTTTCTCCCTGGCTTACGCTGCACTCACAATTTCAGTCTCCCAACTAAGCTGGAGCCTGCATGGCTTAAAAGAGGAATGAGAGCAATGGCAAACAATGTGGTCGGAGTGATGATAGGGTTCTAGGGGAAGGTGATTTAAGCTTTTCCATCCAATTCTGGTCACTCATGTCCTCAGGCCAATGGGAGACTATTCCAGAGCAGACATTAAGCACCCCAGTCTGCCTCTACAAGAGTTGTTACATAGTCAGCAGCCCATGCA